GAAACTTTGTAAATGACATTAACTACCTCCAATATACTATAAGTTATGTATAACTAGTTATATTATTTCATTTCACTGTTGCAATACATTTTGTAATAAAACCCAAACAAAATCATGTGCTAACATAATTTAAGATCAGGTATCTCCTGACTAAAGAGATTACATACATCAAAATTTTTTTTTCTGTGTTACTAGAAGTAGAATATTCAAGAGGGTCATACTAAAGAACAGTTCATCCTGCACAATGTGAAGTGCTGATATAGAGCATGTGTCTATCAAAGCAATGTCTAAAAGGCTGCAATGGAATTTCTGCAATGAACCATTTCTGGTTTATCACAGAGTTGTGACCAGGACAGAAAAAGCCATCTTCCAAAAGTGTAATTCCTAAAACTAGCATATTGCAGGAAAAGGGAAGGAGTAATTTCAGAAGCAGGGTAGGAGTGCAAAGACAGAACATCCGTTTCTCCTGCTCTGCTACAAACAGGCAGAGCCCTCAGCATAAGAAGGTTATTGACCGGTTGGAGCAAGTCCAGAGGAGGCCACAAAGATGCTCAGAGGGCTGGAGCACCTCTGCTATGGGGACAGGCTGAGAGAGTTGGGCTTGTTCAGCCTGGAGAAGAGAAGGCTCCGGGAGACCTTATAGCACCTTCCAGTACCTGAAGGGGCTACAAGGAAGCTGGGGGGGCCTTTTTACAAGGGCCTGTAGTGACAGGACAAGGGGTAACGGGGTTAAATTGAAATCAGGGAGGTTTAGATTGGATATCAGGAAGAAATTATTCACAGAGAAGGTGGTGAGGCACTGGAACAGGTTGCCCAGAGATGTTGTGGATGCCCCATCCCTGGAAGTGTTCAAGGCCAGGCTGGATGAGGCTTTGAGCAACCTGGTCTAGTGGAAGGTGTCCCTGCCCATGGCAGGGGGGTTGGAACTAGATGATCTTTAAGGTCCCTTCCAACCTAAACCGTTCCGTGATTCTTAGTATTATTAATGTAATCGTTTTAGTTCATTTACTTTTAATTATTAAACTGTTCTTATGTTAACACATGAGTTTTAATGCCTTTTCCCTCCAATTCTGCTCCCCATCCCATTAGGGGAAAGAGGAGGTGAGTGAGTAGCTGTGTGGTGCTTTAGTTGCTGGCTGTGGTTAAACCATGAGAATTAGTCATGTTATTTATTCAAATTTAGAATTAAAGGTCACGTTCTTTCTTTTGCTTTCATTGTGTCAGAATAATACACAGAATTAAAAGCTAACTGGCTTTTTTCCAGTAAAGAATAAATTTTAAACGTAAGATCTCTCTGAAGAACATCAAAAGTATCTGAATTATCAGTGTAACATAAAATCTGATGGCAGTAAAATAAATCTATCATGAATTGATTTTGAAAATGCATGTATTAGTTACAACTAAGTTAAGGTATTGTAGGAGAAATAGAGGGAGTTTGAAAGAAAAAAAAGATACAGTTATCACCGATGGGATTCAAGATTGAACAGTTCAGACAATGGTTCAGTTCATCTAACCCGGGCCAGGAACAAAGGGATTTATCTAAATTTACCAAGAAACCTAAAATTTGAGCAGAAAAAATATGGACAATATTTTGTTGTTGTTTGTGTGTGGGTGTGGAACAGATAAACCCTTTAGAGAAACCTCTGTCACTAAACTTCTACACTGGTCTGAGAAGCCAGCACCACTACAATGTGGAGGTAGTGGTGAAAAAATAACCAAAAAAACCCCAGTGAAAAACAAAAGAACTTAGTAATAAGCAATTTTTAAGTGCCGAAAGCCTGACTGCTGGGCAGTGCTGGGACAAGGTTTGCAGTCTAAGCAGGGAGAGTCAGAGGTTTCTGCTCTGAAAGACATAAAGACGATTTCATCAGTTGAAAATGCAGTCTTCTGAGAGACTAACTGAGAGACTAAAGATGTAGCTTGCTCTGAAATTCTAACAGACATTGATTTTTAAAAATCTGAAAAAAGCCATCATCGTTCTTCAAAAGCCAGCAGCTCTTCCACAAAAGAGTAGAGAACACGTATTACACTTGTAAATGCAGCCTTTTTTTGGGGGGTGTGTGTCTTTGTGTGGGTGTGTGTAAACAAACCCCAAAAAAACACACCCTAAAAAGATGCTCAAAACTATAGAAAAAAATTTATTCTACTCACGAATGTCTACCAAGAGGTTATTGGACATGTTCTGTAGATGGTAGTACACCATCTTCAGGAGAGCTGTACACAGAAAATAATTTCTACTTCTAAAACACTTGTCCCTAATGAAAAATCTCTCGAACTTCCTTTTGATGCTGAAAATGGCAGTCAGCTGTAATAAGAGGAAATGCTGGAATTGCAGGACAAAAACGTATCTCAAGGTAGTAGACTGATAATCAGTTACTTCTTGATCACTAAACTGTGTATCACTTTCAGAATACGAAGCCTTCATTACCTCATCCCTTCGTAATTAGTCAATTGTGTAAGGAAGAGCTACATTAACTCCACCTCAATACACAAGTATCAGCATAAAAACAACACTAGAATTCTGTGTTAAAACATCATCTCTAAGGTGAAATAGAGAGGAATAAAAAAGCAAAGGAGGAGTAATGTAAACAGCTCCATTATAGTCAAGAGTATACATTTTAAAGAACAAACCATTTAAAATACAAATGTGAATAATTTAACTAAGGAGAGAGACAGCCTGAACATCTGGCACTCGCAAGAAAGCGAGATGCACTGCTGAGGAGACGGTTTCTATAGTTTTCAAGAAACATAGAAGGTTTTCCATGTTTCAAAGACAAGGAAGTAGGCCACGCTTCAGCTGAATACCGCAGCCTCAGGCGGGACTGTTTACAGCTTTGGGCCAGTACTGAGAAAGATGTAAGGGAAGAAACATACTATGCAGGGCAACCCAAATTGCATTCAAGTGAAATCTTCTTCAATAGTAAACAGTTTCTGTATTTTTTGTCTTAGTAACATTCAGTTTAATATTGGCACTCTTCTGTCATGCCAAACAACACTACTGTTGAACTCATTTTTATGCTGTTTCTTCTCAACAACATGAAAGAATGTCAGGTGAAGATGAGGTCATAAGAGTTAGAAAACTGCTTGTCTAGGTATGTAATCACACTTTCCTCCCTTTTATAGGTTTCTTCAGCAGACACTAACAACAAGCACAGCTTTTAATACCGTTTTCTAATGGAGCGGGCATAGATGACTCCAATCTGATGTCATCTTGGTCATGACGTGTGTGATTGGCAGCCAAACTGGCCCACTGTGACACCCAACGTTTACTTCCAGGGGCAGCAGAACCTTCCTAAGGAAGAAAAAAGGCAGAAGAAAAATTACAACTGGTTGATAACAAGCATGTCCTCCTTCCAGGCTTTTCCTGAATAGGTATGTCAGACACTATTTTCCTGGAGGAATTTGAAAATAGGAGTTTACCACAATAAATTTTAGAGTTACCAGCTCCAGAATGACAAACAAACAAAATAACTATAGTTGCAGAATCAATACAGAATAAACAGCACCTCCTAGTGCAGTCAACTTTTAAACATCAGAACCTATATAAAATACATTGGAACATGTGCTAGTTTTAAAACCAGCTTATTTCTGTCCTCAGCTCAGAAAAGCAGGAAAAGAAAACATGAGGTGTAGGTGTGTGTGAGTTCAGAAGTTAAAAATGTGCTTCTGGAAGACAAGAAAGTGACATTTTACCAGTTTAGAAGACCCTCTTGTCCAGATGAAACACTGTATATACTTCATTACAGAAAGACTACCTTAAGGACTGAAAGAGTAAGATAACTTAGAAAGAAGGAAAGAAGGTTAGATCATGTGTTTGGCCTAAACAAAAAAAGAAGCAAAAATCAGTTTAAACCATCCTACTGAGTAACACTGAAGTCAGTGTAATCAGTATCTCATCACCTAGAAAGAAAATTAATTAAATTTCTTGACAGTAAGTCTGACTGCAAATGACAGAAGTCACTGACTACAGCTCCAAAGGAGTTACATAACCACAAGCAAGTGAAATGCAAAATTTCAAGTTAAGAACAACAAAAGAGATGGGAAGGACACAGAGATGCCAGTAACCTGCTGCTTCAGGAAATGTGTAGGAGCTATTTCAAAGGTTAGCCGAAGCTCTGCTGCCTGTTTAAATCATGACTTCTATTCAAATCACAGATTTTTGTCTACTGCTTTGGCCATTCTGAGATGACAGTCTTTGACCAGGAACCAACTTTAACTTTCATAAATTTATTTAGCTGAAATGGAATGCTGAACAATGTCATCTAGTGTATGATGTCTTCTCTCAAAGTAAAAGTTAGACATTTGAAAGACTTGACGTTATGATGTTCGTTTCTCCTGATTAAATGAATGACCCTAACTAATTTAGACATTTGAAAGACTTGACTTTATGATGTTCGTTTCTCCCGATTAAATGAATGACCCTAACTAATGCAAACAAGTGCAACACCACAGATCTCTTTCAGAATATTACGAATGTAGTAAGTCAGAAACACACCAAATAATTTGTTTGAACTACTATAGAGATTTACACAGTATGAATTCAATTATTAGAATCAAAATGTTATAAAATTCAAGTCTAATAACAGCAAAGGAACACAAGTGATTCTGTTATTTATGGACATTTCTGAACACAATGCAAGGAAAGAGGTGCCAAAAAGAGTAATTCAAACCCCCTATGCAAATATGCACAGCATTTATGCATTGACAACTACTGCTGAAGCCTCATTTTTCTGTCATCTCTCTAAACTTTCTTTTCTATATTTCCTGTCCATACTAGTGAACTTCCATCTTTACTAAAACAATTATAGCCAAACCCAAATGATAGATGTCCCAGTTATCTTTGCTACAGAAAACTCCAACTAGTTCCTTGTGTACCACCTAACCAAATCCAGAGAGATATAATATGCATCAGACATCTGAATTCCACTTCACAATATAGAAATATACGAAGGCTTTGCAGATTAACTGCAGTAAAACATGATAAATCACTTTTCTCTGAAAGTACCTAGACTGCCAAAAAAATGTTTTCTACTTTTGCCAATTCTCTGAATATACAAGCACAAACAACAAAGCTATGAAAAGTAGTTTCTTTTGATGATAGTTTAAGCAAATCCAAAAGATGAAAGGTTTATAAAACACACATTAAAAAAGTCACATTCAGTTATCCTAATGTTCTTCCTATAATTCATACCAATTTGTATCTTGCAGGCTCTCAAATAAGCACTTTCTCCAAATCTTCTGTTCAGTACCAAAGGAATTCCTACTCTTTCAGAAAAGCTGTGTTTACATAAGGGATACCATCTTTTTAACTTCACGTTAGAACTGCTTTCCCTTACGCTTATTGACCATGCAAGCTACATTGGAGTAATACGTCTTCAGAAAATGTACCAGTGGATTTTTGTGGATGTATTATTCAGCCTGAAAATGTAGGGCTTCAGGCTCTGAATCTTGGGGCGGGGGGGGCGAAATCCACATAGCACACACAGAAGACACCTGGAAGCATCTTCATTACTTGACATTTCAGAGCAGAATGATATTTTTTAAAAATCTATTTCAACAAGATGAATAATAATAAAAAAAAGGCATCTTTTCAGACACATAGGACAATTATCTCATGTTGTAAGAATCATATTACTCCATCCTTTCATAAACTGAAATCTTGAAAGCAGTTCTTTTAGTGTCCTGTCATCCCCCCTGCACCTGCTTCAGAACCATATTCCTCCCACGGTGATGATCTTTCAAACTTCCATCCTCACTTTATTTACACGGAACATCTTCACATTTGTTCCTGGAACTGACATCTATCAAAATAGTTCTTTTTCCTTCTGTTGCGTTTACTCCACTTATACAGCAAAGCCCCGCAATTATACTCACCTCAGCTACTACTTTGCTAGACAAAATTAATGACATCAATCTCTCTCTGTACGGTAAATCTCCAATCCCTTAATAATCTGAGTAGACCCCTTTTTACCTACTCTAGTCTTGTATTCACCTTTCTTAACCAAGACTGGTAAGAATTCTAGTGCCAGTATTTCAGGGGAAGTTCTACCAAACAGACAAACCGACCCCAGGTTATGTCCTTAAGAAGCACATCAGTGTTTATGAACCACGTGCATTATTTGAAAACAGTGGTTAGTACAGATAACTGTCCACAAAAAATAAAATGGATAAATCATAGCAGTAAAATCTGCAGTATTTCTATTAATCAAGCTCACATAGTAACAACAGACAGTAACAATAAAATGTAATACTCTCTTTGCTCTCTATCTTATTTTTGTTCTTAAATCACACTTACCTTGGTTGGCAAGTGGCAGCTTATAATATAGAAAATAAAAACATTTAAATATTTTAAATAGACGGATTTAGTATTCTTACTGCCTAACTGCAATCATTGAAAAGGCAAAAAACAGTGCATGCAGGCTTAATCCAACTGTGTCAGACACTCACTCTGCATGTTATTTAGTCTCATGACATGCAGTTCTCTGAAGTCCTAAGGCTTGTCATGTCAAAAGAAAACCTGAGAATTTTTTAATGAGAAAAGCAATTTTTTAGGTCTTTTCCAAGCACATTATTCATGATAAAGATTACTCTTTCAACCCCAGAATTGTTTTTATAAAATCCCCATAATTTCCCAAGCCACCTTTTCCACCTTCCTGAATTTAAATCTGTTAAGTTTTTATTTGGTGGTTTTTTCCATGTCAATCATGTTCTGAATTCACCTCCTCTGCTAAATCATCTAAAGGTACAACTGTGATGGGCAGCTGGAACAAGGCCCAGCCACGATCTAAGTTCCAGTGCAAGCCTGGAACACTGAGCTACCCTGAGGTAACCTGACTATTTAGCGAAGATCTTCACTACGTTTATGATCTTATGATCCACAGCTCAGTAATGCAGCAAGTCTTGCAAACACCACAAGCAGAAAAGTTTGTATATAATGAAAACATTATACCCACATACTTTACAAATCAAACGTATCTGCCTCTCCCTTTCCTAATGATAAAACAAACTCAGTGGAAGTTTTGGTAATAAGACTTCAAATATTACAATCTTCTCTCAATAGTTATGATTCTTTCCAGTTGCTACTCCAAAACATAACTGTTTTTTTCTATTTTAATTTTACATACATGTCAACCAACTTCTATTTTTAACTTTCTCTGCTAGGCTTTTTTATGTCTTCATCTGTCCTCATGTCTTCTTATGCTAATTCTTGTTATACCCACGTTGCTTATGTCAGTTTTGCTCCTTTACCTACTGAAGAATTTTCATTTTTTCCCCTACTATGTCTCATAACAATCCTGTAAATTAAGACTTTGCTAAATAACACATTCCCTTCCCAATATACAAAAGACCTTTTTATTCAGCAACGCATCCACAGTAATAAAAAGACATAGTTCTTGTAACTGCAACCTAAATCAAGTTTTAGTATGCCATTGCCAGAAGGATTCTTAAACCTGCCCTATGATTACAGAAATCTCATCTTCTAAAATCAAACCCTGTTAGTTGCAAAATGACACCTAGAAAGCTAAATTATGTTCATAAATCTCATATTCTGCTGCTGCTTATGGAATTATAGAAATGGAAAAATATCAATACTTCTATAATCTTGAAAATTGATATGGCACAAAACAGTTGAATGCTACAAAAAAAGAAAAGAAAAAAGAAAAAAGAGAAAGATTGTAGTTATAGATTCATGCAAAGAAGCAAGGTGGAAAGGGTCAAACTCTTCCACATGATATGCCCATGCTGTATGGCAATAATTTACTTGAAATAATAACCTTAGTGAAACTAGTCACAGATACTAATCTAGATACAGTAACACACGGTGTGTCACGACTGCACAGTAGCTAAAACACAAGCATGATAAAGCACACCTCTAGGGGAAACAGATTCCTAGAAACTAAAACCAATGCATTTGCATGGCAGGCACACAAAGTCATACTTTAAGCCTTGATATATTTCAGAAAATGTTCTTATTTATAAAGTTTGCTAATTTGCAGGATCACACTTCAGAAACAGTTTGCCACGGCAAGTAGAACTAAGTGTGGTGTGCTTTGTTACTGTTACCAGATTAATTCTGTTCCAGTGTGAGCCCATTCTGTTCCCAACACATTTCATGTTATAGTTTATCCATCACGATGATATCAGAACGTCTCCCAAGATTTCAATATGAAATAATATCTAGCTTGTGTGCATATTCTGAGTCATATATAAAGAACAGGCCTTTTACTTTGCCTAATCTTTCACCAACTGACTAAATAACACTGCTTCTGAGGCAACTAACATCAGTGACTTCTCATGAGTAGCCTCTCCCTTAAGAACTTAGCCGTGAACGTGAGAACTTGAAGTCACCTGGCTTTGGAAAAAATTCTGAAATGTACTGCCCACCATTTGTTTCTTAGCTGACTTCGTATCACACATTAAATACATATACCTTATTTCTGATTTTTAATACAGCTACTTGCTTCGGGCTACAAAACATAACCAGCTTTTTTCCTCAGTTCTGCTGAAGGGCTTACAAGAAGTGCACACTGTGCAAAGGTATGCTGCAAATACAAGGCTGCAAGGAAGCTCCTGCGACATTCCCAGTACACTGGTGTTAGTGCACACAGAGAGGTAGCGAAGTTTGGCACACCTTCACAGTGTAACGTGCCCATCTCTGACAGAGAAGTTTTGATAATGCAATAAAAGCCTAAGAAAAATAAGATAATTGTAGATCTGACCTACTGTTTTCTACGCGAGCTTTTGTTTGCTGTTTAACACTTACTGGTCAGTTACTAGTGCTCTCTCTTATTGGAAGAAAAAAGAAGACCGTCAAAAATTAAATTCTACCTCCGTGTCAAGAAATCCAGTTGTACTCAGTGGTCTTTTTTCTTCCAGCACTACTGTAGCAGAATTTATAGCCCAATCTTTTACTAAATCTTTCTGGTTCTCGTTGATAACAGGCCTATTATAATCCTGGCTGTCATCCACTCCAAATACCTGAAAATGAAACAAACCATTACATACATTAACCCAATACCATCCTGATACAATGTTCAATGTTAATGGATGGATGGTGGCATGCTGGAGAGTGAGTTTAAAAAGGTTTTATGGCATTATGCTTATCTGTCATCTTGGTGAAATCTACAAATTAAATAGAAATATCTACAGCAATTTAAAAAAGAGCAGAAGTCTATGTCAACACTGAAAATTCAAGGAACTTGTAGTTGGAATGGTCAGATGTGAAAAAAATGACACTTTGATAAAAGAAACAAAGGGTAAAGGCAAAATCATTGCAAAAACCATTTTTAAGTCCACATCCCAATTAAAAAAAAAAACCCAGTAACTGGAACCATCATTTTTTCAGATTTTTTGCTATTATCTGGTAAAAACAAGAAATACAAATGCTTAAATCTACTACTAATACATTTACTGAATTATTTCTCTAATACAAAGTTCAGTTTCATATGTTAGGGACTTAGCAGATGTTAGAAGTACACCAGGTCTCACAAACCATGTAGCCTCACCTCATCTCATTCGAGATGTAAATTGCCATGGTGGTTCTACTACACTGTATCCTACTGATGCTTATATTAATCCCTTTGCTTGTGACAGAATAATTTTCCCATGGCATTGTAAAATCACTGCTCAGAGAAAAATACCAGAAAAATGTTATTACCAAGGCAATTTAGAAATAAGGACTTAAGCAGGAGAGCCAGCATATTCTCTGTCAAGTTTCTCATGAGGCATAGATACGAATATGAATTGCTTCCAAAATTGATGTATACTTCAAAAGATACTTTAGAGAATATCTTGTATCCTGGAAACATATAAATTTGTAAATTTCTGCTTAAGAAATAAATTCATTACTTGACTACTAAGGATTCGGACATTTAAAAAATTTACAGAATAAAACTGGAAAAACCCTACACACCTTAAAATTGGCTGCTAAAAACAAACTGTTAGTAACAAAAATGGTTTTGTCGTGAAGACAAGGAGAAAGAAAAAACGAAATAAACTTCACAGATGTTATCCTCCTGTAAAAAACACTAGGGCAAAAGAGAAAAAATACAGACTTATTTTTTTTCCCCACAACTGTTTGTAATTTAGCTGTGCACAGCAAAGCTGGAGGACTGGTTCATTATGGTTCCAAACAAGGTTGGTGCATGCAGGTTGGGTTGACCGCTAGATGGCCACACACCATCATGGCTTTTACTGTCTGAGAAGCAGATGAATAAAAAATAAAATCAGCCTGCCTGTCATTCAGCTCCTGCTTATGCTCTTCTAATGTCCAGAAAGATGCGGCTATAGCATTTACACATTTATACCCGAGGATGCTTTTTCAAATGCATTGGATTTGTATTTTGCTCTCATGCAAAAAGCCTGTGTTCTGCAATTCTAAAATTACGCAATGGTCCCCAATTTTCAATTAAAACATAATTATGTCAAGATACACTTATGCAACTGCTGCTTAAGACTATTTTATACATATTTCTTTTAAAAAGAAGTGTGTTAATGCATAAGTTTCCTCTTTAGTGATATATTTCTGATTTGTACATTTGTAGCAATTTTTGAAGATACAAACCAGTTATCATCCACCACCTCCTTGATTTGAATATATCTCTATTCTGCACACACTTTTTTTCTTGTTTAATGTACTCCATTGATTACAGAGTTTGACATGTGCTTTTAAATGAAAGGAAATTCTGATTTCATCGCATAAGCACCTGAAGGAAAGTATGAATTCAACACTTCCATATCTTATCAGGACTTCAGGAGTAAATTGCTGCATATTATCTGGTGACACATTCATTTACAATGCCAAATTTCTTTCCTTTTATCACAAACAGCAGAACCTAAGGCTTCTTCTTTCAGTCTTACCTTTTCTAGTATTTAAGTCCTATTTAAGCAAACTTTGTTATTCTTCTATTACCAAAATTATTGCAAAACCGAATCTGAATATTGCCTATATGAATATGGTACCCATATGTGGAGCAATAAGACCCAAGAGACCCAAGTAATAATTTACCTCCTAATACTATACCTAATGATCCCTCTGTATATACATTGGGGATATCATAGGCCAGAAAAGATAAGCAAAATATTTGGGGACACTATTATTAGAAAGAAAGGGAAAGTGGCATCTCTAATAAATATATATTTTTGCACTACACATTCATTCTACATCTAGGAGCACTGGTATGTGCATGACCTGCCTTGTTGAAGTTCCATTGCTACACAAGCGTAAAGCTCCTCTTCTCAGCCAGAGAGATATACACAAGTGTGATCTAGCCCAAAGACTAAATTTCAGAACTGTGATATATAAAGAAAACTTTTAGAACAATTCCATTAATACATAACTAAGACTTTAAATATGGAAATTCTGGAAAAAAACCAAAACAACTCATGTTTAGAATTTGACAAAATTTAGAATATCACTTACACACCTGTCACGCATCTGCAGAAACTGAATACTACCAGAATTTCAGAATTAATCAATCCACTTACACTGTTCACCGAATAATAAGACTATACCCTCAACAGAAACAGCTATGGAATAACCTGAAGGTTTCTGCTGGAAACCATCTCTCTACTATTCAGAAAAAATGCAATTGGTACTTTACAGGTTGCTATGACAAGGTAAGTATGCAAACAGTGGGCTGTTGTGATTGAAGCCTGAATGGATAGAGTATCTGTATTTTCCTATAAAGACTGAATGAAATTCTTCAAGGCTTCCAATTCTTCAGACATTTCTGTTCTTTAAATATCTCCATGATTTCAAAGTCATTTAAGGGAAGTCTAGGCGCTAATTTAAATCATGCTTACTGCTGGTGACACCCGTCGCTACATCTCCTATCTATTCATACAAAGAGACTGAAGTTTCTTTCCATAAAGCTTGTGTTTGTCAGAAGCAGCAGCTACACCTTTAAAAAGAAACAACTCCTATCTGTATTTTGATGCACTATGGGGGAGAAAAAGATGAAGCCAGATTCCAAGGTATAGGTTTGGACACGGCGAGCTTTTTCAAAAATGACAAAAATGAGGTTTTTTGTTTTATTTTTGACAAAGGAGGTAAAGTGAGTCTATGCATTCATTTATGACTTCAGGAACTTTCCTAACCATCTCAAATCACATGTATCTAGCACACAGCTGTCAATGACAAAAAGAAGTTCCCTATCTTTTACACTTTCTTTATATCACCGTAAACAATAAGAACTTTAACAAAATTATAATCTTGCATTTTTTGAGAGTCTGGCAGATGGGGAGTACATGTTCATTTTTTAACTTACACAGCTGTACAGTTACAAAGAAAAAAAACCCCAACAAAACCAAAAAACTACTTTGCTGTTGTGAAGCATGAAACAATTTCCTTTGCAAATCAAGATACTGAGTGGCAAGGGAACAACAGAAACATTGCTGTAGAAAGTCAAGCCCCATTTATGAAGTGTAATCAACATGATTTTGTTTAACCAACAATCCAGTTGACCTCTTAAGCAAATGGATCAAAAGGTGATAGAGACACTGCATCCAGTTTTGGTCCCTCCAACAGATGGGAGACATTGTCTAACTTGAAGGAGCTCAGTAGTGGACACTGAGATGATCAAGGCTGGAGCACTTTCCCTGTGGGGAGAGTCTGGGGATGCTAGGGCTTGATCAGTTTGAGGAAGGAAAGTCTTTGGAGGTGCCTAAAAGCAGCCTGCCAGTACGTATGGGGAGCACATGAAGATGACAGGGTCTTCAGAGTGCTGCACAGCAGGTCAAGGATATTTCACATAAGTTGAGACGAGAGGTTCAGACAGGTTATAAGGAAAAGCTTTTCCACTCTGACGACTCAGCCAAGAAATGTTGCCCAGTCTCTCTCTGTCCGTGTAGGGTGGGAAGATGCAAATGGATGAAGTCCTGGGCACCTTAAGTCTGACCCTGAAGAGTGGTTTGGGCTAGAGACCTCCTGCAATCCTTTCCACTTTATGTGATGCTATGATCCTTAATAACAATGATCCTTAATAACAGTGATCCTAGATAGTAACTTAGCATCTCAGGTCAGCCTTCTAGCTCAAAGAGTCAGGCTTGAGAAAGACCAAAGGGAAACCCAGTAATTTCCCAACTGTGGAACTGCCAACACGATGGCTGACATATAACGATGACATCTAAATCAGCAGGGAAAAAGGGAGTTCCTGAAACACACTTTTCAACTTCAAAGCAATGAGTGGTAAGCTCTCCCTGTGATGGTCTACTTACATTCCATGGTTCCAAACAAAGGGACAAACCAGAAGGCTAAAAAAAGAGCGAGTCCCAAAGCACCATGCTGCTACCTGCTGGAATGCAAACTCAGTCTGAAAAGTACAGAGGCAAAGTGCAGAACAACTACACCTTGATGTAGGTATTAATAAATTCCATCACTTTATCTCAGCAAGTTTTTCCAATATTGTAACTGAGAACATAACTTTCATCAACAGATCTGGGCAAGTGCCTTGTCTTCTTCTGCAAGAGCTAATTTTGTAGAAAGCAAAGTAATCTGTTTTGGCAGGCAACACATATTTCCCTGTGAAAACAGCTCATGACTCAGAGCACAACTGCTTGCCACAATAGCTGAAACACAGCTTTAACTTACCAGCTAGCTTTAGTGATAAGGAACTGGTCTTGCTCACTGTCCTTTCTCTCCTCCCCTCCACCCCAACAGATGAATTAATATGTTTGGTACTACAGATCAACTGTACTAGAGGTCAGTATGATGACTTTAGGACTAATTATCAGAACTGATGCTCCTTTAAAACCACAGAAGCTGGTGTTGGGTTTTTTTTAATCATTGATATGAGACCTTCTAGCAATTAAATAAAAACTGATCAGAAAAATTAATGGCAACAGGAACCATTTTTCTAAACCAAAAAGGAAGACAGTGAGTTAGCCGAAGAAACCCACATCCCACTTCATGTTTTCCTTACGTGTTTTTTATAAACTTTCAAGTACTTCAGTAAGAAAAAACTTTTCCAGTTGTATCT